GGTTAGCAGGAACCCAAATTTGACAGGTAACCGCTCCCACTTCCGCTGCGATCGCCTAGGCAATCAGAAGCGGAAGTTGTCCTCCTTCCCTCCCCGTAGTCTTCTTGGACAAGTGACAGGTCCATGAAGACTATGGGGCCATTCACAAAGGGCAGCACTTCTTGTACATGCGCAGTGGGCAAGCTGGCACAGCCGGGTACCCACACTAAAGATGCCGGGGAGAGAAGACGGCCGGTGAAACCAGCCGTGGTGAGGACACCGCTGGACCGAGGGACAGGTAAGTGGCTGTATTTTAAAAGTCAGCAGTTACAGTTTTTGTAGCTGCTGACTTTTTTTTTTTCAGGTGGAACTCCGCTTTAAAGGCAACAGATAACAACTAGGGAGGCGTAATGGACTCTAATATGTTACCACAGATAATGACAGTTCTGAAACCAGAAATGATGAGAAGCTTCTGGCTTCTGTTGTCTCAAGCAAGGATGCTGAAAGCCCGGTACTATATCATTGTCTTTATTAATCACGAATGCTGTACAAACTGTACAAACTACTTACAATTGTAGGAACGAATACAAGATACAAAATATTACAAGTATGCATATAGTCCACATTTCCATGTGCTATCTGAACGTCCCACCATTGGCAATGGTCTGTATGTGATAAGAATACACTGAAGACTTACTTAGCTTGGGCTATAGTTTGTGATTTCCGTAATTTATTTAGTTATTTATTACAGGTACTTATATAGTGCCGTCAATTTACGCCGCTCTTTACATATATATATTGTACATTCACATCAGTCCCCGCCCCCGAGGAGCGTACAATCTAAGGTCCCTAACTCACATTCATACATACACATACTAGGGACAATTTAGACAGGATCCTATTATCCTCCCAGCATGTCTTTGGAGTGTGGGAGGAATAAACATGTCCCCAGTCTCCTCATGCGATTGTTGCAGGAAACCAGGTGCTCTCATAGTGTCATCCCCAGGTGAAGTGCCTTCTTTTGTCTTGTGAAGTCCCCTCTGGGATAGACCTTCCTCTGTGTTATGAAGTCTCCATCCTTTTTAGTTCATCTTGTTGTTATGGAATCCTTGCACATGCCTGCGTTATGTAAATGCCCCCCCCCCCACATTTCCTGCCAACATCACTTCCTGTTTTGCTTTTTATGAACCAGTTAAACAAGTTAATTAGCATTTGAATAGATAAACAATGGCTAAGTGGTTAGCATTTCTTGGCAGTACTAGGGTCCTTGGTTCAAATCCCAACCACGGCACCACTGCATGTTCTCCCTGAAAGATAAGATTTACATCCGCTGAACAGATCTGTATTTAATTTCAAATGAAAATTATGCCAATATGATGATAATAATAATATTAAAATAACCTTCCCTTACAGTGCCGCCCAAAATTGAAGATTCTTTTTATAATCAAGCAGCACCATGGCTAAGTGGTTAGCACTTCCGCCTGGCAGCACAGTGGCTAAATGGTTAGCACTTCCACCTGGCAGTACTTGGGTCATTGGTATCCCAGCCACGGCACCACCTGCCTTGAGTTTGCATGTTCTACCTGTGCCTGCATGGGTTTTCTCCGGGTACTCCGGTTTCCTCCAACTCTTCAAAGACATGCTGGGAGGTGAATTGGCTCCTGTCTAAATTGGCCCTAGTACGTGTATGTATGAATGTGAGTTAGGGACCTTAGATTGTACGCTCCTCGGGGGCGGGGACTGTTGTGAACGTACAATATATATGTAAAGCGCTGCGTACATTGATGACGCTATATAAGTACCTGAAATAAAGAACAACTATTTATGCTATTAAAAAAAATCACTAAAGTAGCCATGGCAACACAGCGTCATTCAGTACATAAACGATCCACAAACGGATGTTCAGTAATCTTTCTGCGTTCTCATGCGCCGACACACGCCATGCCTATTTGCTTAACATTTTCCTCTTTTATCCAGAAAGAAGCTCAAATAAAATTCCACGTGCTGCTCACATCGTATGAACTCATTACGATCGACCATGCCGTCCTAGGCTCCATCGAGTGGGCGTGTCTGGTGGTGGATGAAGCTCACCGCCTCAAAAACAACCAATCGAAAGTAAGTCATTGCTGAAACTTTCCCTGTTGAAGGGGATTGTTTACCGGATCCTTGCTAAAGCCGTATTTAGAACATTGGCTTGCCATGGATGTCTGTATAGGGAGAGTTGTATGTCATCCCTCCACTGTGTCCTTCCCAGGAAGTTAGGATTTGCTAGCCACCTCCCGTCCGGCCGTTGTATATAAACAACCGGGTGGTCGCAGTGCAGGGGCGGGTGGACGTTTATAAACGGCCTCCCCGCCCCCTGCTTGTGCGCGCTCCCTGGGAGCACCGCGATTTGGTGTTCAGCTTTAAGGACTGGTCCCTTGCTCCCCATTAAGGAAAGACACCTTTGGAGAGCGGGTACCCGAAATTGACAGGTACCCGCTCTCACTTCCCCTGCGATCGCCTAAGGCAATCAGAAGTGGAAGTTGCCCCCCCCCCCTCCTCGTAGTCTTCTGGGACATGTGACAGGTCCCAGAAGACTACGGGGCCATTCACAAAGCTCAGCACTTCTCTCTCATGCGCAGTGGGCACCCGGCTGTGAAGCCACAAGCTGTCACAGCCGGGTGCCCACACTGAAGATCCCGGCGCCAGGAACACAGGGCTGTGGGGGAGAAGACAATGCGGGATCGAGGGAAAGGTAAATGTCCGTTTTTTTAAAACTCATCAGCTACAGCTGCTGACTTTTTTTTTTTATTGGAACTCCGCTTTAGTATTTATTGACAATCAAAGGGTTAACTGTGTGCCTAACAAGTGTTAAGTGTTTACTGTGTGCTGATTTTACTGAGAAATGTGCCAGTTTTATTCTCTGCTTTGCAGGGAAACAAAAACTGGCACATTTCCCCTGTCAAGACAGAGCTCTGTGTTGTTTACAGTCACAGAGCTCTTTCCTGTCATCGGCTCCACCAAACGGTGGGTCCCGACCATAAATAATTGGCTGGGACCCACTGACTGCCTTGTGTAGTAATGAGTTATAGCAGAGCTGTAACACGCACCCCCCCCCATCTGGAAGAGCCAGATCACGTATCAGATATGTGATCCAACCCAAAAGCGGCCGCCCTGCAGAAGTGTACCGTGGGGTGGTCTGCAACTGGATAAATCAGACTGTACACTAAACCATGATCCCTGTATTAAGGGGTCCTTTAACCCCTTCCAGTCCGGACACTTTCCCCCCCTTCCTGCCCTGACACTTTCCCCCCCTTCCAGTCCGGACACTTTCACCCCCTTCCAGTCCAGACACTTTCACCCCCTTCCTGCCCTGACACTTTCCCCCCCTTCCAGTCCGGACACTTTCACCCCCTTCCAGTCCGGACACTTTCCCCCCCTTCCAGTCCGGACACTTTCCCCCCTTCCAGTCCGGACACTTTCCCCCCCTTCCTGCCCTGACACTTTCCCCCCCTTCCAGTCCGGACACTTTCCCCCCCTTCCAGTCCGGACACTTTCACCCCCTTCCAGTCCGGACACTTTCCCCACCTTCCAGTACGGACACTTCCCCCCCTTCCAGTCCGGACACTTTCCCCCCCTTCCAGTCCGGACACTTTCCCCCCGCCCTGACACTTTCCCCCCCCCTTCCAGTCCGGACACTTTCCCCCCCTTCCTGCCCTGACACTTTCCCCCTCTTCCAGTCCGGACTCTTTCACCCCCTTCCAGTCCGGACACTTTTCCCCCCTTCCAGTCCGGACACTTTCCCCCCCTTCCAGTCCGGACACTTTCACCCCTTCCAGTCCGGACACTTTCCCCCCCTTCCTGCCCTGACACTTTCCCCCCCTTCCAGACCGGACACTTTCACCCCTTCCAGTCCAGACACTTTCCCCCCCTTCCAGTACGGACACTTCCCCCCCTTCCAGTCCGGACACTTTCCCCCCCTTCCAGTCCGGACACTTTCACCCCCTTCCAGTCCGGACACTTTCCCCCCCTTCCAGTCCGGACACTTTCCCCCCTTCCAGTCCGGACACTTCCCCCCCTTCCTGTCCAGGCCAATTTTCAGCTTTCAGCGCTATCACACTTTGAATGACAATTGCGCGGTCATGCAACAATGTACCCATATGACATTTTTAGAATTTTTTTTTAAGACAGATTAAACTTTATTTTGGTATTTATTCACCGCTGGGATTTTTATTTTTTTTTTTGCTATATAAATGAAAAAGACCAAAAATGTTGAAAAAAAAAACGTGTTTTTCTTATAAAATTTTGTAAATAAATAATCTTTCTTCATAAATCTTGGCCAAGATGTATTCATCTATCTTTTTAGTAAAAAAAAAAAAAAAAAAATACCCCAAATATGTTTATAACCAAACATTTTTCACATTTTTTTTTTACATTTGTATTTTTTTTATATATTATTATTTATGGTTTTTTTTTTACATACTGTCATCCTAGCAGTACACTATCACCATGGTGACACTGTACTACTTGTGGGGGGTGATGAAGATTTTTTTTTTTTTTCTTTAACACTGATTGCTTTTACACCCATAAAGGCTGTAAAAGCAATCATTTCTCCTTCTCTCTGGCTGCATTCCTGCAGCCATTGAGAAATACTGTGAGAGCTGTGATTGGTCACAGCTTGTCACATGGTTTGAGGCTGCTGTGAATAGCCCTGTACCTTGTGATCCCTGTGATCATTCACAGATTTCATAAGTAGTAAGCAATGATGTCAGAAGTGACATTTTGTTTACTACTGCGCATGTGATCACTGATTGGCCAATCAGGGATCACATGATCGGGACCTCACACAGAGGTCCCGTACAACGATCGGTGGACACAGCGAGCACCGATCGCTCTCAGGGAGCGCGCACAGACAGCGGATGCCGGGGGACGTTTAGAAATGTCCACCTGCATTGGCAGCGCTCCCGTTCGGCCGTTTATCGACATGGGACGAGCGGGAAGTGGTTAAAGGAACACTCCGGCCACAGTTGTAAGCAGCCATGATGTATATTTCTGTTGAAGTTGGACCTGCAAAGTTTCTGAACCTCGGATGCATCGGTGAAGGCTACCACCGCATAATGTTGTTTTCCAAGTTCTTTAGGGTATTAAATAGCTACAAGATCGACTACTACAAACTGCTGCTCACCGGGACCCCTCTTCAGAATAACCTAGAGGAACTCTTTCACCTTCTCAACTTCCTGACCCCCGAGAGATTCAAGTAAGTCCTTCCATCTTACATGAGCCAACATGCAAACTGACCGCTCCTGCAGCATATTAACACAGCTGGCCGCTGACACCCCTCACAAACTATTGTTTGTCCCTAGGGCGAAGCAACAGGTTCTCTTCAAATGCTCCGGTACTTCGTGATAAATACTTGGTGCTCTGATGTATGGGGGAGCATGCGGATCACTTTATGTGATGGTGATTGGCTCGGATCTGACACATAGGGGGGAGATTTACTAAAACTGGAGCGCTCAGAATCTGGTGTAGCTGTGCCTGGCAGCCAATCAGCTTCTAACTCCAGCTTGTTCAGTTAAGTTTTGACAATAAAACCTGGAAGCTGATTGTTTTCTAGAGAGGCTAGAGAGTTGTTTTGTTGTTTTTTTTTCTTTGGGAGGGTGCATGTGATGAGCACAGGGCCAATCAGCACAGTCCAGACAGAGAGTCAGGGGTCATGCAGCCTCATAGGACAAGCAGAGCACAATGAAAACTCCTCCTACAAGATTACTCAGTGCTCTGCTGGACACTGATAGAAGTCACAAGACTGCTATATACTGCTTATGAGAAAAGGTATTTAGCGGTTTCTATTTAGTAAAATAATTGCATTTCCATGTTCTGTGTACTGTGGGAGACTGGATATAGTGAATGCGGGGTCCGAGGAGAGCGGATATAGTGAATGCGGGGTCCGGGGAGAGCGGATATAGTGAATGCGGGGTCCGGGGAGAGCGGATATAGTGAATGCAGGGTCCAGGGAGAGCGGATATAATGAATGCGGGGTCCGGGGAGAGCGGATATAGTGAATGCGGGGTCCGGGGAGACCGGATGTAGTGAATGCAGGGTCCGGGGAGAGCGGATATAGTGAATGCGGGGTCCGAGGAGAGCGGATATAGTGAATGCGGGGTCCGGGGAGAGCGGATATAGTGAATGCGGGGTCCGGGGAGACCGGATGTAGTGAATGCAGGGTCCGGGGAGAGCGGATATAGTGAATGCGGGGTCTGAGGAGAGCGGATATAGTGAATGCGGGGTCCGGGGAGAGCGGATATAGTGAATGCGGGGTCCGGGGAGAGCGGATATAGTGAATGCGGGGTCCGGGGAGAGCGGATATAGTGAATGCAGGGTCCAGGGAGAGCGGATATAATGAATGCGGGGTCCGGGGAGAGCGGATATAGTGAATGCGGGGTCCGGGGAGACCGGATATAGTGAATGCGGGGTCCGGGGAGAGCGGATATAGTGAATGCGGGGTCCGGGGGAGAGCGGATTTAGTGAATGCAGGGTCCGTGGAGAGCGGATATAGTGAATGCGGGGTCCAGGGAGAGCGGATATAATGAATGCAGGGTCCGGGGAGAGCGGATATAGTGAATGCGGGGTCCGGGGAGAGCGGATATAGTGAATGCGGGGTCCGGGGAGAGCGGATATAGTGAATGCGGGGTCCGGGTAGAGCGGATATAGTGAATGCGGGGTCCGGGGAGAGCGGATATAGTGAATGCGGGGTCCGGGGAGAGCGGATATAGTGAATGCGGGGTCCGGGGAGAGGATATAGTGAATGCGGGGTCCGGGCAGAGCAGATATAGTAAATGCAGGGTCCGGGGAGAGCGGATATAGTGAGTGCAGGGTCCGGGGAGAGCAGATATAGTGAATGCGGGGTCCGGGGAGAGCAGATATAGTGAGTGCAGGGTCCGGGGAGAGCAGATATAGTGAATGCGGGGTCCGGGGAGAGCGGATATAGTGAATGCGGGGTCCAGGGAGAGCGGATATAGTGAATGCGGGGTCCGGGGAGAGCGGATATAGTGAATGCGGGGTCCGGGGAGAGCGGATACAGTGAATGCGGTGTCCGGGGAGAGCGGATATAGTGAATGCGGGGTCCAGGGAGAGCGGATATAATGAATGCGGGGTCCGGGGAGAGCGGATATAGTGAATGCAGGGTCCGGGGAGAGCGGATATAGTGGATGCGGTGTCCGGTGAGAGCGGATATAGTGGATGCGGGGTCCGAGGAGAGCGGATATAGTGGATGCGGGGTCCGGGGAGAGCGGATATAGTGAATGCGGGGTCCGGGGAGAGCGGATATAGTGAATGCGGGGTCCGGGGAGAGCGGATATAGGGAATGCGGGGTCCGGGGAGAGCGGATATAGTGAATACAGGAATAATATGAAATGTTGAGATAAGCTGAGTTGGCCTAACACAGGATCTGACATCAGTCAATTGGACCTGACTCATAGACTGTGCAGCACTACTGAGAAGAAAGCAGAACTTGCATATATAATAAGCAAATTTGGCTACCCTCACATCTATATACACTATACACAACTGCCTGTACACACACAAGAACTAATGGACCCCAGTCATAGTCCATAGGGTTCAATATTGAGTTGGCCCCGCCCTTTCCACACACATGAGCTTTAATGGCCCCCCCAATCTTGTCCATAGGGTTCAATATTGAGTTGGCCCCGCCCTTTGCAGCTATAACAGCTTCAACTCTTCTGGGAAGGCCGTCCACAAGGTTTAGGAGGGTGTCTATGGGAAGGTTGGACCATTCTTCCAGAAGCACATTTGTCAGGTCAGGCACTGATGTCGGGGGAGGAGGCCTGGCTCGCAGTCTCCGCTCTAATTCATCCCAAAGGTGTTCTATGGGGTTGAGGTCAGGACTCTGTGCAGGACAGTCAAGTTCCTCCACCCCAAACTGGCTCCTCCATGTCTTTATGGACCTTGCTTTGTGCACTGGTGGGCAGTCATGTTGGAACAGGAAGGGGCCATCCCAAAACTCTTCCCACAAAGTTGGGAGCATGAAATTGTCCAAAATTTTGCCTTAAGAGTTCCCTTCACTGGAACTAGGGGGCCAAGCCCATCCCCTGAAAAACAACCCCACACCATAATCCCTGCTCCAAGAACTTTACACTTGGCACAATGCAGTCAGGCAAGTACCTTTTTGCTGGCCACCGCCAAACCCAGACACATCTATCAGATTGCCAGACAGAGAAGCATGATTGGTCTCTCCAGAGAACACGCCTGCCCTGCTCTAGAGTCCAGTGGCGGCGTGCTTTACACCACGGCATCCGACGCTTTGCATTGCACTTGGTGATGGAAGGCTTGGATGCAGCTGCTCGGCCATGGAAACCCATTCCATGAAGCTCTCTACGCACTGTTGTTGGGCTCATCTGAAGGCCACACCAAGTTTGGAGGTCTTTAGCTATTGACTCTGCAGACAGTTGGCGACTTCAGCATGCGCTGACCCCACTCTGTCATGTGACGTGGCCTACCACTTGGTGGCTGAGTGGCTGTTGTTCCCAGTGGCTTCCACTTTGTTATAATCCAACTAACAGTTGAGCGTGGAATATTTAGTAGCCAGGAAATGTCACGGATGGACTTATTGCCCAGGTGGCCACCTATCACGGGACCACGCTTGGAGTCACTGAGCTCCTGAGAGCGACCCATTCTTTCACCAATGTTTGTAGAAGCAGTCTGCATGCCTAGGGGATGGATTGTATACACCTGTGTCCATGGAGGGGATTGGAACACCTGAATCACATGATATGGAGGGGATTGGAACACCTGAATCACATGATTGGGAGGGGATTGGAACACCTGAATCACATGATATGGAGGGGATTGGAACACCTGAATCACATGATTGGGAGGGCATTGGAACACCTGAATCACATGCTTGGGTGGGCGGGGACAATACTTTTGGCAATATAGTGTATAATTACAAACTATACACAGACGCATGGTTTAAACATTTACCCTCAATGGTAAGGTTGTAGCCCTTTAACTGTCCGAATATATAAAAAGAACTGTAAAAGTACTGCAGTGCCTCCTTTCACACATCCTGCTGGCACTGAGCGCCTTGCAGCACCGTACAGTTCCTGATGGCTTTAGGATGTTCTTTCAGGCCCGCTCTGGTATTTTTTTTCCCCTCCCTTTGTTTCATGGTTGGCCGCCATCCCTCCCTCTCCTATCTTGTCAACATCATTAAGATCTGTTGTCTGAGGCTGTGGAAAAATGTAACTTATAAATTATTCATAAGTGGGAGGCATCACATGTTCCCAGCAGCCGGGCGAGAGCGGACGGCGAGTCACGCAGAGTGCATATTGATTGCAGCGTTGCAAGAAGAGCCTTTTTTTTATCAGCAATGATTTGCATCGGGATTTGGAAGCTTTAACGTTTTAACAGCATCCCCCGCTGTGAAAGCTTCACGAATAAGAATTCCTGCTGGGTTGGATTATTTTATTTAAATGTGAATATCACTTAATGGGTATTCAATCTGTGGTCATTTCACAAAAGAGTAATAAAGCTGTTTGAAACAAAAAAAAGTCATATACAGTCAAGTGGAAAATATTTCAGAATAGGCTGGTAAAGGAAAAGTACATACAGTATATATAGATTTTTTTTTTTTTTTTAAATTACACTATATGACTAAAAGTTTGTGGACTCCCGTTCCAATTTTTTGAGCGCAGGCATTTCTAGTGAAGGGTCCGTTAATACTACACCATACAAAGATATTGTAGACAATCGTGTTCTTCTAACCTTTGTGGTTACAATTTGGGGAAAGCCCATTTCTGTTCCAGCATGAATGTGCCCCTATGTACAAAGCCAGCTCCCTAAAGACATGGTTTGACCAGTTTGGATCAGCTCCCTAAAGACATGGTTTGACCAGTTCAGACCACCTCTGTAGAGATATGGTTTGACCAGTTTAGACCACCTCCATAAAGACATGCTTTGACCAGTTTGGACCACCTCCGTAAAGACTTGGTTTGACCGGTTTGGACCAGCTCCAAAAAGACATGGTTTAACTGGTTTGGATTAGCTCCATAAAGACATGGTTTAACCAGTTTGGATCAGCTCCATAAAGACTTGGTTTGACCAGTTCAGACCCCCTCCGTAGAGATAAGGTTTGACCAGTTTAGACCACCTCCATAAAGACATGCTTTGACCAGTTTGGATCAGCTCCATAAAGACATTGTTTGACCAGTTTGGACCAGCTCCGTAAAGACATGGTTTGACCAGTTTGGACCAGCTCCGTAAAGACATGGTTTGACCGGTTTGGACCAGCTCCGTAAAGACTTGGTTTGACCGGTTTGGACCAGCTCCAAAAAGACATGGTTTTGACCGGTTTGGATCAGCTCCATAAAGACATGGTTTGACCGGTTTGGATCAGCTCCGTAAAGACTTGGTTTGACCGGTTTGGACCAGCTCCAGAAAGACATGGTTTGACCGGTTTGGATGAGCTCCATAAAGACATGGTTTGACCAGTTTAGACCATCTCCGTAAAGACATGGTTTGACCAGTTTGGACCAGCCCCATAAAGACATTGTTTGACCAGTTTGGACCAGCCCCATAAAGACATGGTTTGACCAGTTTGGATCAGCTCAATAAAGACATGGTTTGACCAGTTTGGATCAGCTCCATAAAGACATTGTTTGACCAGTTTGGACCAGCTCCGTAAAGACATGGTTTGACCGGTTTGGATCAGCTCCATAAAGACATGGTTTGACCAGTTCAGACCACCTCCGTAAAGACATGGTTTGACCAGTTTAGACCACCTAGGAGGAATAGAAGATTCCATTAGCTGAAGGCAGGATAGGCTTCCCTGAAGAGATAGGTTTTCAGAGAACGCCTAAAAGTGAGCAAAGGAGGCGGTAGTCTGATAAATTGGGGTAGAGAGTTCCAGAGGATGTGGGAAGCTCTGGAGAAGTCTTGGACACAAGCATGGGAGGAGGAGACAAGGGAACTAGAGAGCAGGAAGTCGTGCGAGGAGCGGAGAGGACAGTTTGGATAATATTTGGAGACAAGATTGGTGACGTAATTGGGGGCGGAATTATAAACGGCTTTATATGTTATGGTTAATGTTTTGAATTCTATCTGTTGGGAAATGGAAAGCCAGTGGCGGGATTGGCAGAGAGGGATGGAGGCCAGTGGAGGGATTGGCAGAGAGGGATGGAGGACACTAAGTGGAAGCCAGTGGAGGGATTGGCAGAGAGGGGTGGAGGACACTGAATGGAGGTCAGTGGAGGGATTGGCAGAGAGGGATGGAGGACACTGAAGGAGACCAGTGGAGGGATTGGCAGAGAGGGATGGAGGACACTGAGTGGAGGCCAGTGGAAGAGGCTTGGAGGACACTGAGTGGAGGCCAGTGGACGGATTGGCAGAGAGGGATGGAGGACACTGAATGGAGACCAGTGGAGGGATTGGCAGAGAGGGATGGAGGACACTGAATGGAGACCAGTGGAGGGATTGGCAGAGAGGGATGGAGGACTCTAAGTGGAAGCCAGTGGAGGGATTGGCAGAGAGGGGTGGAGGACACTGAATGGAGGTCAGTGGAGGGATTGGCAGAGAGGGATGGAGGACACTGAATGGAGACCAGTGGAGGGATTGGCAGAGAGGGATGGAGGACACTGAGTGGAGACCAGTGGAAGAGGCTTGGAGGACACTGAGTGGAGGCCAGTGGAGGGATTGGCAGAGAGGGATGGAGGACACTGAGTGGAGGTCAGTGGAGGGATTGGCAGAGAGGGATGGAGGACACTGAATGGAGACCAGTGGAGGGATTGGCAGAGAGGGATGGAGGACACTGAATGGAGACCAGTGGAGGGATTGGCAGTGAGGGATGGAGGACACTGAGTGGAGGCCAGTGGAGGGATTGGCAGAGAGGGATGGAGGATACTGAGTGGAAGCCAATGGAGGGGTTAACAGAGAGGGATTGAGGACACTGAGTGGAGGTCAGTGGAGGGATTGGCAGAGAGGGGTGGAGGACACTGAATGGAGACCAGTGGAGGGATTGGCAGAGAGGGGTGGAGGACACTGAGTGGAGGCCAGTGGAGGGATTGGCAGAGAGGGGTGGAGGACACTGAGTGGAAGCCAGTGGAGGGATTACCAGAGAGGGATGGAGGACACTGAGTGGAGGTCAGTGGAGGGATTGGCAGAGAGGGGTGGAGGACACTGAATGGAGACCAGTGGAGGGATTGGCAGAGAGGGGTGGAGGACACTGAGTGGAGATCAGTAGAGGGATTGGCAGAGAGGGTGGCAGATACGGAATGATTAGTAAGGTGGATGAGTCTGGCAGCAGCATACATGATAGACTGAAGAGGGGATAGCCTGTGATGAGGTATTTAATGGATAGTGGCCATTTTTTGTACTGTTTAAATAAAAAACACAGCGCCAACGGCATTAACTTTTGCACCCACTCAGATAGAATTTCTGGAGTCCACTGGTTGCTGTGGGGTACTGCGGTTTGCACACCATCATTGCATTACTGATTGGATCGGAGCCGAGCCATGTTTTCCGTCTGTGATCACCAGAAATGATTTCGCCGTAATGTTTTTCCCTGCAGCAATCTGGATGGCTTCCTGGAAGAGTTTGCCGATATCTCCAAGGAAGACCAAATTAAAAAAAACTCCATGACTTGTTGGGGCCCCACATGCTACGGCGGCTGAAAGCAGATGTCTTCAAGAACATGCCAGCCAAAACAGAATTAATAGTGCGGGTGGAGCTTAGCCAAATGCAGAAGTAAGTAAAATCTGTAGAGACTATAACCAGCGTGACTCTTAATTATAATGAACAGAATTTGTGTTGCCTCAAAGTTCCTCAGTTCATCCAAAATGGTTCGTATTGAAGTGGTTCTAAAGGCTCAAGTTTTTTCTCCTTCTATGCATGAAGGTAAAAAACCTTCTGTGTGTAGCAGCCTTTCCAGCGCCCCCTAACACTTACCTGAGACCCATCCCGATCTAGTGCTGTCCAATTAGAGCCTGGATTCTCTCCTGATTGGACACTGGCTCCCACTGCTGTCAATCACAGCCCGTTTTCCCATCACGAGAGGGAGGGGGCGGGGCCAAGCCATTGCTCTGTGTATGAATGGACACGCAGAGCCGCGGCACCAGAGCGCACTTGCTCGGGTGCAACCATAGCAAACTGCTTGCTGTGAGGGCACCCAACAGGAGGGACGGGGTGGGGCCTGCGGGTGACCCGAGAAGAGGGGGACCTGCGCAGGTAAGCAGGTAAGTATAGCATGGGGGAGTGGGCGGGGCCTAGCCGCTGCTTTATATATGAATGGACACGCAGAGCTGTGGCGCCAGAGCGCACATGCTCGGGTGCAACCGTAGCAAACTGCTTGCTATGCTTGTGAGAGCACCCAACAGGAGGGAGGGGCCAGGAGAGCTTGCGGGGGACCCGAGGAGAGGGGGAACTGGGCAGGTAAGCGGGTAAGTATAGCATGGGGGCAGGGAGCGGGACCAAGCCGCGGCTCTGTGTATGAATGGATACGCAGAGCCGCAGCGCCAGAGTGCACTTGCTTGGGTGCCCCATAGCAAACTGCTTGCTGTGAGGGGACCCAACAGGAGGGAGGGGCCAGGAGAGCCTGCGGGGGAACCGAGAAGAGGGGGACCTGGGCAGGTAAGCAGGTAAGTATATCATGGGGAAGGGGGCGGGGCCGAGCCACGGCTCTGTGTATGAATGGACACACAGAGCCGCAGCTCCAGAGCGCACATGTTCAGGTGCCCCCATAGCAAACTTCTTACTGTGAGGGCACCCAACAGGCTAGAAGAGCCTGAGGGGGACCCGAGAAGAGGGGGACCTAGGCAGGTAAGTATAGCATTCAAAAAATGAAATGAAAAAATGCTGCGCTACATAAACCAATGGTACAAACCATTACCAAGAAACAAAGTGCAAAAATAAATCAATAATTATTAGAAGAAAAATAGTAGTATTGTTTGTTATTTAAAAAGAAAAAAAAAAGTCTTTAGTATCACTTTAAGGGCATTTGTCTTTTGAGCCCATTCGTTTTGTATGGCGCAAATCATACCGCAAAGGTATTGATAATTGGTATCAGCGAGTATTAGATTCCAGGTATTGGTACTCGTACTCGCTGGTAAAAATCGGGTATCAGTGCAACCCTGATTGTATGTAAGTTGTTGTTCCTGTCTGTGTCTCGCTTACCCCCGGTTCACATATCCGCGTTCCTGCGGTCTGTGTTGTTTTGCGCGGGCACGAGAGCACATTCATTTGAATGGACTCCCGTGCTCATGACACACAGGGAAGAAGTCCCTGCACTTCTTCTGAAAACGCAGCCGAGGTTCCCAGTGCGGTTGCGATTTCCTGTGCGGGCGGCGTGCCATTCGAACTAATGGAACCCGCCCGCGGGTGCACATTCCTCTCTGCCGGCGGTGCGGCTGCACAGGTTTTAGTGCGGATCCGCACAGATGTGAACCCAGCCTGAGAGGGGATTTCCCTTCACTTCTTGTCCTGATGAACAGGAAATGAGAGGTTATCAGGACAGAAAAGGTAAATCAGAGGCGTCCCTAGGGTTGGTGTCACCCAGTGCGATAACACTTGGTGACACCCCCTCCGCGATCCCCGCAGAATGGATCGGATCTGCAGATTGAGCATAATGGATCGGTCTCTGATCTATTATGCTCAATCAGCAGATCTGATCCATTCTGCGGGGATCGTCCGCTTTCTTTACAACTCACCTTTTCTTGGAGCGGGCCAGGGACAACTGCGCATGTCCCGGTTTCAGGCACAATCGATGAGAGCAGTAGTTCTATCATCGATTGATTGTGCCTGAAACCAGGACATGCGCAGTTGCTTCAGGGAGACATCTACATGGGAGACACATCTTGCCGATACATCGGTGTCACCCCGCAGGATCGTCCGCATGCAACCTATACGGGGTGACACCGGAACCGCTCTAAGAGAAGGTAAGAAAAGGTAAGTTGTAAAGAAAGTCGACGATCGTCTGGTTGGGCTGGCTAGAGGCATTTCATGGAGTTGTGGCGACTTCCATTCAGATGCCTCATTTTGGTTGGGGAAGGTAGTCTTTAGATAAAATGAAGGAATGATCTGATTGGTTGATGTGTTTTCTATATAGTCACATGTACATGTTTTCTGCTACATTCATCCAGATTTCCTTTTTTGCTGATTTAGGAAGTATTATAAGTTCATTTTGACCCGAAATTTTGAAGCCTTGAACTCTAAAGGCGGAGGAAACCAGGTGTCCCTGCTGAACATCATGATGGACCTGAAGAAATGCTGCAATCACCCGTACCTTTTCCCTGTAGCTGCTGTGGTAAGAGGCTTCCCAGCTCGTGTAGATTTTTTTTTTTTTTTTGCACTTTTGTTGTATTAGTTCATTTCAGAGCGGGATGTTGTTTCACCGAGCGGTTTTCTGTATGTTCTGCCCTAGTAAACTTTTGTTTTCAGTTTTTTGGATAGATTAGGGCTGGGGTCTTGAATTGAAATTTACAGAGGTCCGGGCAGCAAAATTTACTACTAGCAGAGGTCCAAATCTTGTTAGCTCTATAACACATCAGGCTCCCCCCCCCCCCCCGTACATTATCGTCTGCTGTGTACCTTTCACATTGTAGTCCCCTTTACATTACAGGTCCCCTCTATAAAGCAGTCGCACACATCACAGCACCCCTTACACATCACAGCGCCTCCTATACATCACAGTGCCCCCCTACACATAACAGTGCCCCCTACACATCACAGTGCCCCCTATACATCACAGCGCCCCTTACACATCACAGCGCCCCTTACACATCACAGCACCCCTTACACATCACAGCGCCCCTTACACATCACAGTACCCCTTACACATCACAGTGCCCCTTACACATCACAGTACCCCTTACACATCACAGTACCCCTTACACATCACAGTGCCCCCTATACATCACAGTGCCCCCTATACATCACAGTGCCCCTTACACTCCACAGTACCCCTTACACATCACAGCGCCCCTTACACATCACAGCGCCCCCTATTCATCACAGCGCCCCTTACACATCACAGCACCCCTTACACATCACAGTGCCCCTTACACATCACAGCGCCCCCTACACATCACAGCACCCCTTACACATCACAGCGCCCCTTACACATCACAGCGCCCCTTACACATCACAGCGCCCCTTACACATCACAGTGCCCCTTACACATCACAGTGCCCCCTACACATCACAGCGCCCCTTACACAACACAGCGCCCCTTACACATCACAGTGCTCCTTACACATCACAGTGCCCCTTACACATCACAGTACCCCTTACACATCACAGTACCCCTTACACATCACAGTGCCCCTTACACTCCACAGTTACCCCTTACACATCACAGCGCCCCTTACACACCACAGCGCCTCTTCCACATCACAGCGCCCCTTACACATCACAGCGCCCCTTACACATCACAGTGCCCCTTACACATCACAGCGCCCCCTACACATCACAGTGCCCCCTACACATCACAGAGCCCCTTACACATCACAGCGCCCCTTACACATCACAGTGCCCCCTATACACCACAGTGCACCCTACACACCACAGTGCCCCCTACACACCACAGTGCCCCCTACACTCCACAGTGCCCCCTACACAGCACAGCGCCCCTTACACTCCACAGTGCCCCCCTATACATCACAGTGCCCCCCTACACATAACAGTGCACCTTACACACCACACAGCGCCCCTTACACTCCACAGTGCCCCTTACACATCACAGAGCCCCCTATACATCACAGTGCACCTTACACACCACAGTGCCCCCTACACAGCACAGCGCCCCTTACACATCACAGTGCCCCCTATACACCACAGTGCACCTTACACACCACAGTGCCCCTTACACATCACAGAGCCCCTTACACACCACAGTGCCCCCTATACACCACAGTGCACCTTACACACCACAGTGCCCCCTATACACCACAGTGCACCTTACACATCACAGCGCCCCCTATACATCACAATGCCCCCTTACACATCACAGTGCCCCTATATATCACAGTGCCCCCTACACACCACATTGCCCCCCCTATACATCACAGTGCCCCTTACACATCACAGTGCCCCTTACACACCACAGTGCCCCTTACACTCCACAGTGCCCCCTATACATCACAGTGCCCCCTACACATCACAGTGCCCCCTATACATCACAGTGCCCCCTACACACCACAGTGTCCCTTACACACCACAGTGTCCCTTACACACCACAGTGTCCCTTACACACCACAGTGCCAGTGATGAGGCACAATTTATCCCAATGACACCAACAATGGGGCCCAGTGACACCATGTGATGAGGCTTCCTCCCAGTGAGGGAGGAAGTGGTGGGGAGGAAGAGGGACAGAAGTCAGATAACGGGGAGGGGTGGGTCCAGGACCAGGTGTATGGATTAGTTGCACTGCATTTAGGACTTGGTTATGCCGTCTAGCTGGGGGTGCCTGAATTTCAAGACTAAACAGAATTATAAAAACGTTCACAAATCTGATTTTCAGCCGGGTATTTAGTTTTCTTGGAGTTCCACTTTAAACAAAAAGCACCTTGTCAGAATCCTAAAACAGAATTCACGACCCTCTTCCGTATTTCTATCTTCCCAACACAGGAGGCGCCGGTGCTGCCCAACGGGTCTTATGATGGAAGCTCTTTAGTGAAATCCTCTGGGAAGTTGATGCTGCTACAGAAAATGCTGAAGAAGCTGAAAGACGGAGGACACCGAGTCCTGATATTCTCTCTCAGGTACCAGGATGTGTAATGCTGTATGCAAAGCAGGGCGGTCCTGGGAAGAGGACATGAGGGGTCACTTCTACATCCAGAAAGCACAGCTATTGGCTGAATAAAACTCCAATGAAATGCTGCAACATCTGTGACCACGTAAAAATGGGTTTATGTCATTCACCGACAGATCCGGTCACATAAAATCAGTCAGTATTAGTCCTCACGCACACGGGACATTTTTACAGCGGCTGTTTTTTGGCTTTTAGGTTTTTTTTCTACAGCCAGTAAACCCCCCAGCAGGTTATCCTCGGTGTCCATACACACACACAGACTGGAATCAACGTTTTTTGGCTGGAAAAAAACCCCAGAACTAGCGGGTTTCTAGAGGAGTTTTTTTAGCTGTAAAAACGCTAAACGCTGAAAAATGCGGCAAAATGCGGTAAACCATGGTAAAAAAAAAGCCACAACCCGATGTTTTTGGACAATTTTTTGACAAAGAAAAATTTTTTTGGGTTAAAAAAGGCAAAAAAAAAACAAAAATGCGGCTAAACGCTTTATATATATTAAAAAAAAACCTAATAAAACATATATATATATATATATATATGTGTTTTTTTTTTTTTTTTATACATACAGTGAGGAACAGAAGTATTTGAACCCCCTGTGATTCTGCAAGTTCTCCCACTTAGATCATGGAGGGGTCTGAAATTCACATTGTAGGTGCATTCCCACTCTGAGACACAGAATTTAAAAAAAATTTCAGGAAATCCCATTGTATGATTTGTAAAGAATGTATTTGTCTCGCACGGCTGAACAGAAGTATTTGAACCCCTGAGAAACAGCAAGAATTCTGGCTCTCAAAGACCTGTTACTGCACCTTTACAAAGTCCACCTCTACTCCACTCATTCAGCTAACTTAGTAGCACCTGTCTGAGCTCTTTAAAGACACCTGTCCACCCCACAGTCAGTCAGACGCCAACTACTACCATGGGCAAGACCAAAGAGCTGTCAAAAGACACCAGAGACAAAATTGTGGACCTCCACAAGGCTGGAAAGGACTACGGGGCAATTGCCAAGCAGCTTGGTGAAAATAGATCAACTGTTGGAGCAATTGTTAGAAAATGGAAGAGGCTAAAGACGACTGTCAGTCTCCCTCGGACTGGGGCTCCATGCAAGATGTCACCTCGTCGGGTATCACTGATGAGAAGAAAGGTGAGGAATCAGCCCAGAACTACAAGGGAGGAGCTGGTCACTGACATGAAGAGAGCTGGGACCACAGTTTCACAGGTCACTGTCGGTAGAACACTACGCCGTCATGGTTTCCAATCATGCATTGCACGGAAGGTTCCCCTGCTCCAGTCATCACATGTCCAGGCCCGTCTGAAGGTTCCCCTGCTCAAGTCATCACATGTCCAGGCCCGTCTGAAGGTTCCCCTGCTCAAGTCATCACATGTCCAGGCCCGTCTGAAGGTTCCCCTGCTCCAGTCATCACATGTCCAGGCCCGTCTGAAGGTTCCCCTGCTCCAGTCATCACATGTCCAGGCCCGTCTGAAGGTTCCCCTGCTCCAGTCATCACATGTCCAGGCCCGTCTGAAGGTTCCCCTGCTCAAGTCATCACATGTCCCGGCCCGTCTGAAGTTTGCCAATGACCATCTGGATGATGCAGAGGAGGCATGGGAGAAAGTCATGTGGTCAGATGAGACCAAAGTAGAACTTTTTGGTCTAAACTTCACTCGTCGTGTTTGGAGGAAAAAGAGGGATGAGTTGCATCCCAAGAACACCATCCCTACTGTGAAGCATGGGGGTGGTGGTATCATCATGCTTTGGGGGTGCTTTTTCTGCGAAGGGGACAGGACGACTGCACTGTATTAAGGAGAGGATGAATGGGGCCATTTATTGTGAGATTTTCAGCAACAACCTCCTTCCCTCAGTCAGAGCATTGAAGACGGGTCGTGGCTGGGTCTTCCAACATGACAACGACCCGAAGCACACAGCCAGGAGAACCAAGGAGTGGCTCCGTAAGAAGCATATCAAGGTTCTGGAGTGGCCTAGCCAGTCTCTACACCTAAATCCAATAGAACATCTTTGGAGGGAGCTGAAACTCCGTGTTGCTCAGCGACAGCCCCGAAACCTGACAGATCTAGAGGAGATCGGTGTGGGGGAGGGGGCCAAAATCCCTGTTGCAGTGCAAACCTGGCCAAGGACTACAGGAGACGTCTGACCTCTGTAATTGCAGACAAAGGCTTCTGTACCAAATATTAACACGGATCTTCTCAGGGGTTCAAATACTTCTGTTCAGCCGTGCGAGACAAATACATTCTTTACAAATCATACAATGTGATCTCCTGAATTCTGTCCTCAGAGTGGGAATCCCCTGCAATGTGAATGTCAGACCCTCCATGATGGAGAAGTGGGAGAACTTACAAAATCGCAGGGGGTTCACATACTTCTGTTCCTCACTGTATATGTTAAAAAAAACCTAATAAAACATATATATATATATATATAAAAAATGTTTTATTACTTTTCAAAGTTTCCACTTAACATCAATAAATAATCATATTATTCAAATACAAAAAAAAATTCATTTAATAAACTCTTATAGTTGATTTCTACAACCTTCATATCTACAACTGGATTAAAGTATTATTCTTGTTTTCTAAAGAAGGCAAAAAAGAAATTCCGCTTCCACCAAACACTAACATATATAATTGTACAGAGTATACAGTGAAGGAAATGTGTATTTGCTCCCCGGCTGATGGTGAATGTTCGCCCCTCACACAGAAATGATCGGTCTAACAATGGAATGTTCGCCCCTCACACAGAAATGATTGGTCTAACAATGGAATGTTCGCCCCTCACACAGAAATGATCGGTCTAACAATGGAATGTTCACCCCTCACACAGAAATGATCGGTCTAACAATGGAATGTTCGGTGTAACACTGAGAGACAGAATACAACAACAAATTCAGCAGAAATGCGTTCTAACAAATGATGACTGATCTGCATGTTCATGAGGGAAAGAAGGATTGGATCCCCTTCACAAAACATGACTTAGTACTTGGTGGCAAATCCCTTGTTGGCAATCACAGAGGTCAGACGTTTCCTGGAGTTGGCCCCCAGGTTTGCACACATCTCAGGAGGGATTTTGGCCCACTCCTCTTGGCAGATCCTCTCCAAGTCATTAAGGTTTGGTGGCTGACATTTGGCAACTCGAACTTTCAGCTCCTCCACAGATTTTCAATCGGATGAAGGTCTGGAGACTGGCTAGGCCACTCCAGGACCTTAATGTGCTTCTTCTTGAGCCGCTCCTTTGTTGTCTTGGCCGTGTGTTTTGGGTCATTGTCATGCTGGAACACCCATCCACTACCCATTTTCAATGCCCTGGCTGAGGGAAGAAGGTTCTCATCCAAGATTTGATGGTACATTGCCCCGTCCATCGTCCCTTTGATGCGGTGCAGTTGTCCTGTGCCCTTAGCAGAAAAACACCCCAAAAGCAGAATGTTTCCACCACCATGTTTCACAGTTGGGATGGTGTTGTTGGGGTCATAGGCAGCATTCCTCCTCTTCCAAACACGGCGAGTTGAGGCCAAAAAGCTCGATTTTGGTCTCATCTGACCACAACACTTCCTACCAGTCCTCCTCGGCATCATTCAGATGTTCAGTGGCAGACTTCAGACTGGCCTGGACATGGGCTTTCTTGAGCAGAGGGACCGTGCGGGCACTGCAGGATTTCAGTCCTTGTCGGCGTAGTGTGTTACCAATTGTTTTCTTGGTGACTGTGGTCCCAGCTGCCTGGAGATCATTGACAAGATCCTCACGTGTAGTTCTGGGATGATTCCTCACTGTTCTCATGATCATTGACACTCCACGAGGTGAGATCTTGCATGGTGCACCAGACTTAGGGAGACTGACACTTGTTTTGTGTTTCTGTCATTTGTGAATGATTGCACCAACTGTTGTCACCTTCTCACCAAGCTGCTTGGCCATAGTTTGGTAGCCCAGTCCAGCCTTGTGTAGGTCTACCATCTTGTCCCTGACATCCTTGGACAGCTCTTTGGTCTTTGCCATGGTGGAGAGTTTGGAATCTGATGCTTTGATGGCTCCTGTGGACAGGTGTCTTTTATACAGGTAACACAATGAGATTAGCAGCACTCCCTTTAAGAGACTGCTTCTAATCTCAGCTTGTTACCTGTATGAAAGACACCTGGGAGCCAGAAATCCTGCTGAATGATAGAGGATCAAATCCTTCTTTCCCTAATGAACATGCAGATCAGTCATCATTTGTTAGACGCATTTCTGCTGAATTTGTTGTTGTATTCTGTCTCTCAGTGTTACACCGAACATTCCATTGTTAGACCGATCGTTTCTGTGTGAGGGGCGAACATTCCATTGTTAGACCGATCATTTCTGTGTGAGGGGCGAACATTCAGCATCAGAGGGGAGCAAATACACATTTCCTTTGCTGTGCATACATAATTATGCAGAACATAAATATATAATTGTACAGAAATGCTACCATGTATTGTAGAATGAAAAATGCAACTGCTGTGTATTTATTTACCTTTTGTACCACCAGCCCCCCCCCTCTTAGATTGTAAGCTCCCGGGATCAGGGCCCTCCTATCCCTCTTGTATTGAACTGTGTGGTTGCTGTATTGTCTCCCGCCATAAATGCTGTATATCAATACTACCAATAATTTATCTTTAAAGATGACAAAAATGCTGGATTTACTTGAAGATTTCCTGGAGTACGAAGGCTACAAGTACGAGCGGATAGACGGAGGGATCACGGGAGGGCTGCGACAAGAGGCAATTGACAGGTTTAATGGTACTATTGTGCTAATCACATACAACCTCCGCCATTTTCCTATTACCGCCATGACTCTGCAGCTCTTAGTAGCTGTAATAGCTGAAGATGACGATCTTTTATAAATAACGGCAGCCGTAGTAATGACAATCGTGGGGTACAAAATCAATTATTTTTTTTCTTACACGGCGGCGGGGAAGGCCGGAACCTTTGTCATCTCTGTATTATGTACAGGTGAAACTCGAAAAATTAGAATATGGTGCAAAAGTTGATTTATTTCAGTGCAGCAATTTAAAAGGTGAAACTAATATAAGAGACTCATTACATGCAAAGCAAGATAGTTCAAGCCGTGATTTGTCATCATTGTGATGATTATGGCTTCCAGCTCATGAAAACCCCAAATCCACAATCTCAGAAAATGAGAATATTGTGAAAAGGTGGAATAATCTCGGCTCAAAGTGTCCCACTCTAATCACCATATTCTCATTTTTTGAGTTTCACCTGTATATGTTATCTTTAATCACATATTTGGTTCTCATTTGTTGTCCCTAAGCAGTGGTGATGTCATTTTGATGGATGACTGGTTCAACCCCTTCCCACTGCCTGTATGCATACATGCAGCTTCAGGAAAGTGTCTTTAGCCATGGTCGGCCCGGTGTTCTAACATGGCGGCGATGGGGGGGAATACCGGGCCAGCCGCTCCGTATTCACTCCACAACATGCACAGACATTTCCCCCCATTTTTTGGGTTGGGGGAAGAAAGTGCGTCTTATGGAGCGAAAAATACGATAAATACCCCTTCCCTTTGAGCCTAGATTAAACCTCCCATAATAGTTATAGTTTGTAATTGTAATGCTAGGAGATGAGGATCTCTATGAACATGTTGTAAATGTGTGTTTATGACTCTTCCTTCCTTTCCTCCATAGCTCCAGGAGCTCAGCAGTTCTGTTTCTTACTGTCCACCAGAGCTGGAGGTCTCGGGATAAACTTGGCCACCGCTGACACTGTCGTCATCTACGACTCCGACTGGAACCCTCATAATGACATTCAGGTCAGCCTGTTCCCACGCCGTTACATGCTGGGGGTCTGGGCTCTTCTCATTCACACGTACGGTGGGGACTGCCACTCCTCTGAAAAGGGATCCATGCTCTGATCGCTTTTCAAATGTTTTTGACAGACCATACGGATACATTGGGGTTGATTTACTAAAGGCTAATAGGCTGTGCTGATCCAGAACTAGGTAAACGAGTAGAATTCTTCATGGACAATTATTTTTTTATCAAAGCCAAAGAGTTCAAGACGTTTTTGTGTTTATTAAAAGTCAGCAGCTACAATAATTGTAGCTGCTGACTTTCAATAAACACACATTTTCCTGTCCCGGGCTTCAGTGAGGTTCTCACTTTCCCCCCGTTCCTTCTCTCCTTCTCTCCTCCCCGGCGCCGGCATCTCAACTGGGCTCCAGGCTGTGACAGCATGCGGCCTCACAGTCGGGTGCCCACTGCTCATGCACGAGTCACGCCGCGCCTCCTGATTGGTCCGGCAGTCTCCTGGGACCTCTGAAAGTTCCCAGGAGACTGCAGGAGGGAAGAGGGAGCCAAACTTCAGGCTCACTTCGCCGGAATTGAGCCGGAAGTGGGAGTGGGTACCTGTCAAAACCAGGTACCTGCTCCCCCCTCTCCCCCAAAAAGGTGCCAAATATGGCAGCGGAGGAGGGGAGGAGGAAAACAAGCAGAGCTTCCACTTTTGAGTGGAGCTCTGCTTTAAGTTACCATTTATTTTTGGTCAAGATAAATTTATTAGCACAGTTTATAGCACTGCACAAAAAAATTAGCAGAAGTTCTCTTGACTTCCATTATCCAATCAGGTGCAAGCAAAAATGTTTTTTTTGGGGTTTTTTTTTTTTGTTTGTTTTCATTTTCCTTGCATGTGATTGGGTATTCTTTGCAAAGTGAAGCTTCCCCTCATTTACTAAGCTCTGGAGCACCCGCGCTTTGCAAAGGGCACAGTCTGTTTGCCTTTAGTAAATCAACCCCAATATCTCACCTCCTCACCGCCTGATTTAACCCTATAACTGCCTTACCACCACAACACAACAATGGCGTACGTTGCATGTTGTTTTGGTGCTGCCCCATAGAACTGCATTAGCTGCGTTTAGCGGCAACACTGCCTGCCTTAAGCAGCATGATGTTTAACCAACTGGCTTTCCTCATAGCTGATCTCCTCCATGCCTCCTATCCATTTGGTTGCCCTTCTCTGTACTTTCTCCAGTTCCCCAATGTTCTTTTTGTGAATTGGTGCCCAAAACTGAACTGCTTATTCCAGATGAGGTCTTACTAATGATTTGTACCGGGGGGGGGGGGGGGGGGATGATATCTCTCTCTCTGAAGTCTATACCTCTCCTAATAAAAGAGAGGATTTTGCTCGCTTTTAGAACCCGCAGCTTGGCATTGCTGCCATTATATTAAGCTTGTGATCTACCAGAACTCCCAGATCCTTCTCCACCATTGACCCCCCCAGATCCTTCTCCACCATTGACTCCCCCAGATCCTTCTCCACCATTGACCCCCCCCAGATCCTTCTCCACCATTGATTCCCCCAGATCCTTCTCCACCATTGATTCCCCCAGATCCTTCTCTACCATTGATTCCCCCAGATCCTTCTCCTACCATTGACCCTCCAGATCCTTCTCCTACCATTGACTCCCCCAGATCCTTCTCCACCATTGTTCCCCCCCAGATCCTTCTCCACCATTGATCCCCCCAAGATCCTTCTCCACCATTGATTCCCCACAGATCCTTCTCCACCATTTACCCCTCCCCCCCAGCTCCTTTTCTTCCATTGACCCCCCCCAGATCTTTCTGCACCATTGACCCCTCCAGATCCTTCTCCACCATTGACACCCCCCCCCCCCCAGATCCTTCTCCACCATTGACCCCCCCAGATCCTTCTGCACCATTGACCCTCCCAGATCCTTCTCCATCATTTATTCTCCACAGATCCTTCTCCACCATTGACCCCCCCAGATCCTTCTCCACCATTGACCCCCCCAGATCCTTCTCCACCATTGATTCCCCCCAGATCCTTCCCCACCATTGATTCCCCCCAGATCCTTCCCCACCATTGATTCCCCCAGTTGTACCCCCCCCAGTATGTATGATGCATGCATATTCTTGGCCCCAAGTGCAGAACCGTACATTTATCAACATTAAACCTCATTGGCCCCATAGTCCCCCAATTACACAGAGCATTGAAGTTGGAGACATGCTATAAGGACGTTATTCCACGGCACAGCTTGGTGTCATCTGCAAAGACTGAATATTGGCTGGAGAGAGCACACAAATCTGGCAAACAGGAAAGGCATGGCTTAAATAGGAAGTTCATGGGAGGAGCAAAGGGTTCAAGAGAAAGGACACAAGGCAAGATCATTCAACGAATTATCCAGGCTGCTGTCAGGCATCCCAGGTGGGTCAGCAAGAAGAGACATCGCTAGACACAGCAGAGGTTGCAGGTTCACTTCCAGGTTCTGACACTCTACTTCCTGTCCACTTGGGAGTTTTGGGGGTTCCCACCCACCTTTACAGTAGGTTTTGACTCCTTCCATTCCATTCTACATAATATAAAATAAATAAATATCAGAATTGGTTGATCACAGCAGGTATGCAGACCCAGCAACTAAGAGCTGAGATCTCACTCTGGTCTGGTCTGGTTCCTAACCTGTCCATCATCCACCTAACACTGGAATATCGGTTCTGGGAGGAAGGACCCCTTTGATTCAAATGCATTGTATAACCCACAGCGTTGACATGTTTTGTAAGTTTGCCTTTGAGAAGAGCCATTTGGGAATGCTCTCTTGGCTGACCACTGTAGGTATGGTAAATACCCCTGGTAGAAATTGGACAACCATTACGTGATAGGCATAGATCAAAGTTTCTCAACCTTTTTTTTAGTCGAGGCACCCTTTAAAATTATGGACAGTCCCAAGGCACCCTTTAAAATGATGGACAGCCCCGAGGCACCCTTTAAAAATTATGGACAGTCTTGAGGCACCCCATTCTAAAATGGGGTGCCTCGAGACTGTCCATCATTTTCAAACGGCACCCCATTCTAAAATATTATATTCTATATAACACAACACCCACACACGTAGGACACCCAACATTAGAGGTGATTTATTCTTCCAAAGCAAATACACTTTTACACACTGGTACTGACTAGTATTCTGGTGTTTCTCTTCTCCCTCAGTTTTTCTCCATCAATGAGCTAATGTGACCCCAGCACTGACGGAGAGGGGCAGGGAAGGGTCAAACTAGGATGCTGTGCAAGCAGTTGACATCCTCCTTATCAACTGATGATGTCACTGGTTGTCAGGATGCCAGTGGCTAGAAGGTCATAATGGTGCACAATGAAAGCCTGTGGCTTTGTGTAACTAAAAGGCAGGCTTGTTTTCACCCCGCAGGCTTGTATTCAAGCTTTGGGCAATTTTTAGACATTTTGCCAAGGCACCCCTGAAGAATCCTTAATGCATCCCTGAAGA